TCCCCTAAATAAGAGGATATTCTAGTTTGGGTATGAGTTGGCCTTAATGGCTTCTGAGGTCCCTTCTGAGGCTGAGATTCTGTGATCCTGTGATTCTGTGGATGTTTCAGGGAAGGTAGTGGTACCTGAACTGAACCCTGAAAGAAGACAACTATTCTAAGATATAAAAGGTACCATCCCAATTCTTGAAAGGGGGCCAAGGTGGATTATTCATATTACAGGTTTATGAGCTTGATTTTGATTCTTGGCAAAATTCTAGAACATGTCATTAAAGGGATGGTTTATGAGCACTTAAAAAAGGAAGATGGTGATCACTAAGAGTCAGCATGAGCTCATCAATAACATATCATAGGATTTAAAACTAGATGGATCCTTCTCGACACATTTTCTTTCCTATTTTGGCAGGATGACTAGTCTGATAGATGATGAGAATGCCAGAGTTATACCTGGATTTCAGCAAGGCATCTGACAGAGTTTAGCATAATATCTTTGTGGTCAAGATGGAGAGTTATAGGCTGGTTTGGATTACAGCTAGGTGTAACAAGTTAAATGACCAGACCCCAGAAGGAATGACTTATAGATCAATGGTAGTAACATGGAGGGATAGCTTTAGTGGAGTGCCACAGAGCTCTGTCCTTAATCCTGTTGTGATAAACCTTTTTTAAATTAATTACTTGGATGAAAGAGGATAGTATCCTTATCAAATTTAAGCAGTATAAACATATAGTTTTGCACTTAACTTTTTAAAAACTCATCTACGTAAATACAGAATAGTGAAGACTTGACTAGACAATGAATCACTTGGAATAGATTCAGGGCTATAACTTCAATGAATCAATGCATTCAGCTGTGGGTGCCACATTTTAGGGAAGATAGTAGCTGGAGAATATTCAAGGATGACGGCAGGGGAATGGGTGGTCTGGAGAAGAATAGACTTAGAATAGGCACACAACTTCTGTTTTCGTTTTTTCATTTTTAACTTATGGAATAAAACAAGCATTTCCATAACATAGTATAATAAAAGGGATGATTGCACACGAAACCACAAATCTATTATGTACAACTTGCTGTTCATTTAAAATATAAGATAAAGTTATCATGTAAATTTCATTTATTTTCTTTTTTTCCTTTCCTCTCCCTCCTCCACCATAGAGATGGCTACCATTAGACACAAACAGATTTTATTTTATTTTTGATAGGAAAAGGGATGAGCTTTGTTTTGCTTGGAACCAAGGGCAGAACTAAGAACAGGGAATGGAAGTTGCAGGTAGGTGGACTCCAGGTCAATATAAGGAAACATTGCTAAATTGAGTTATTCATGAGAAGAACAGACTGCATAGGAAGGTACCGAGTTACTGCTCACACTAAGTAGACTTCAGTCAGAGGTCCTATCCCTTGTAGGGGATACTGTAGTTAGAATTTTCATTCAGTTAAGTGTTGGCTTAGAATGAATGATAAAAAAAAAAAAGCAGCCCTACTATGTGTAAAGCATTTGGTAAGTGCTGGGGAAGGCAACATTTGTAGGAGGTTTAAGGTGTGAATTACATGGAAAAACCCCATAGTCCTTAGGGTGCATGAGTCATATGGAAAAGCCCCATGGTCCTTAGAGTGCACCAGCCAAACAGATTGTAATTCATTTCCATGCGTAAAAGGAAGTTGAACTGTTCAACAGTGCCAAGGATTTTGGCTATGAGAACTTTCTTTCCTGGGTCTTTAGTAGCTTGTTGAGGAGTTGAGGGATGCATCATCTGTAGAAGCAGCTACCAGAGAACAGCACCTCAAGGACTGATTCCTGAGGGGGCTTTTGGAGCCAACTCTCAACTGTTAAACTTTCAGTGTGAGCATTTACACCTCAGAAACACAAGTTTGATTTGTTCCTTTGTTGATTGTCTTCTCTAGACTTGAAAGTGTTCATAAAGCAGATTAGATTTAAAAGTATATGTGCATACAGATTACTATCCCCATCTTCTCCCTTAACCCCCTTGTTAAACATTTACCAACACAACCATGTATTGCCTATAAACATTGCAATAGAAGACTCCGGGAATGGAGTCATACCAGACTAGAAGTCTGGTGGTTGTATAATAACAATAATAAAAATAATAATAATGATGATGATGCTGATGATAATCTGACGATAATAATATCATCACAATAAGATAATGATTATAATAATGTGATGATAATGATAATAATTGGCATTTATATAATGCTTTAAGGTTTGCAAAGTATTTTACATCCATTATCTCATTTGCACCTTACCAAAACCCATGGATGCTTCCAGGCCATTTCTGAGCCATGCTGTTCTCCAGTCACTGTGCTTAATTAACCTCCTCACCATCCCACCAAACCTTGCACCTACACTCTGGGACCATCATAGATTTTGACAGGTGAACTTTCACTTTATTTTGCCCAGAACCAAGCCTCCACCTCATTACCTGGCCATTTTGGGTGAGCTAGATTGTAAGTTCTTTGAGGACAATACAGTACTCTTTTCTTGTATTTGTATCCCTAGTACTTAGCAGTTTCTGACTCATAAGAAGCATCTAATAAACTCTTTACCATTAATTCATTCATTCATTCCCTGGATGATGGTTGATGGAGCTGAGGTGGAAATAGGGGCAATGACCCAGGGGTTTGGGAGATCAGTTGTTATTCCCTGTACTTTTGGGCTTATCCGCCTCACTAAGTTGGTCCTTCAATGGTTTGGTGGTGGTAGTGGTAGGGAGGATGGAGGACCTCCAAATGCTCACCTTTAGATGAGTTTCCCAATTTGAAGTTTCAGTGATTTCATATTTAGAAAACTGTAGTACACTGGGGAACAAAAAAACAAACAAAAACATTGGAGCATATATAAGTCAGGGGACCTTGATTCTAGCCTTGCCTTTGCCACCATTAACAATGTGACCTTAGACAGATATCTTCTCTTTAATTCTCAGTTCCCTCATCTGTAATATGAGAGGATTGAATTATATGGTATTTAAATCCCTTCCAATTCTAAAATTCGATGACTATGACCTCAGGTATCTAATTAGAGTATGTAGGCATATGTAGTCAGTAATTTTTCTCATTCAATTAAATTGCACTTAATATTTGCTGAGCAAGAGAAAAAAATAACTATTTGCTGGGATGGTTAGGTGACTCAGTGGGTAGAGTAACCAGCCTAAAGTCAGAAAGACTCATCTTCATTAATTCAAATCTGGCCTCAGACACTTACTAGCCATATGGGATGTGAAGCTAAAACATGGTCCCAAGGCTGGGGCCAGCTGGTTGTAGTGGGTTGTGCACTCGTTTTCACTCATTTGGTTGTCACCAGCCAAGATGGCTGGACTGAAAAACAAGAATTTCAAGAAGATTAACATTCCTGGGAGAATGGATTTTGGAGATCCTTATGTAGAGAGGTATGGTTCTAATGAAATGAACACACATTTTTAAAAAAGATAAAATATTTGATAGTATTTTAAAGCATCTTTCTCTATCAAGAACATAATCTAATTCTTCCTTTCAATATCCTGAGAGATCAGTAGAGACAGCTATTATCCTTATTTTACAGAGAAGTAAATTGAGCTGAACAAGGGCAATAAATAGGGGCCATAAGTAGGGACACCTAGATGGCACAGTGAACAGATGCTGGGCTGGGAATCGGAAAATTTTCTCTTCCTGAATTCAAATCCAGCCTCGGACACTTAGTAGCTGTGTGACCCTGGGCAAGTCACTTAACCTTGTTTGCCTCAGTTCCTCATCTGTAAAATGAACCGGAGAAGAAAATGACAAACTACTCCAGTATCTTTGCCAAGAAAACTGCAAAAGAAATCACAAAGAGTCAGATACAACTGAAATGACTCAACAGCAAACATGCAAACAACTATGTACAAACAAGCTTTATAGAGGACTAATTAGAGAGAACAGAAAGAAGGCACAACATGAAGGTGGATCTGAGAAGGCTTCTCACAGAAGAGGGACAGGAAGGAAGCCAGGGAGCCCAGAGGCAGAGAAGGGGAGGGAGAAAATTCCAGGCGTGGAGACAGACATTGAAAATGCTGAGAGACAGAAGATGGGAGTATCTCGTGGGAGGAACTGCAAGGAGGCCACAGGTGTGTTTGTGTGTGTGGCAGTTCAGGCTATGAAGGGCTTTGAAAGTTAAACAAAGATTTTGTATTTCATCCTGGAGGCAATAGGGTGCTACTGGATTTTATTGAGTAGGGAGTGACATGGTCAGACCTGAGCTTTAGAAAATTACTCTGGTAGTAAAGCGGAGGATGGACTGGAGTGGAAAGAGATATATGGTAGGGAGACCAACCAGCAGGCTAAGTGTGAGGGCCTACAGCAGGGTGGCGGTAGTGTCAGAGGATAGAAGGGGGCTGGAAGAGATCCTGAAGACCATTTACTCCAACCTCCTTATTTTTACTGGGTCTGTGAGGGGGTGCAGTGGATAGAGCCCTGGGCCTTCAATGAAGGAGACCCGAGTTCAAAAGTGACTTCAAATGATTACTGGCTGTGTGACCCTGGCACATTCTGAACCTGTTTTTCTTGTTTTCCTCATCTGTAAAATGGGGAAATTAATAGCATCTACCTCTCACAGGGTTGTTGTGAGTACCCAGTGATATATTATCTGTAAGGCTACTCTGCTGTTATTATTATTATTGGGACCTCAGAAGCTGTCCACTTCATTTTATTGATGGGGAAACTGAGGCCAAGAGAGGTTAAAGTGCCTTGCCTAAGGTCACTCATGGCAGAGCTGGGACTCGAGTCCAGGTCCTCTGACTCCCAATCACTGCCTGGGGGATCTGCTCCACTCTAACTTGGGGGGCTGGGGAGGAGGGTGGGTGCCTCCTCACAATTCACTGCTCCTTCCGCTTCTCCGCCCGCCCCACATCCCACGCGGGGCGAAGGTTCCCGGAGCGTCCCCTCCTTCCCCTCTGGGTGCGCCTCCGGCCGGCTCCGAGCAGCCCCGCCCTCCCCGGCCTGAGCGGCGTCCCCCCCCCCCCCGAGCACCGCCCCCTAGCGAAGTCTCCTGGGGGGTCGCCCCCGCCGGCGGGCCGCGCGACTTCAAGTTCATTCCTGAGCCGGCTGAGGCGCGCGGGGCTGGAGAAGCGCTGGCTGCTGCGTCCGTCCGCTCGGGTCCTCCGGTCCTCTCTGAAGTCCCACGCGGCCTTGCCACCTCCTCATCCCCCAAGGAACCATGTCCATGCTCAGCTGGGGCTACTGCGAGCACAACGGTGAGGGAAAGGAGTTGGGTAGCTTGGAGGAAGCAGAGGCCGGGCGGGGGGGGGGGTTCCAGCTCTGCGGGGCGCGCGGCTCGCGCTGCTCCTGGTGCCTGGGGACGCGCAGCGGGGGTCCGCGGGGGTGGCTGGGGAGGCGCAGCCCCGCTGCTTTTGTGAAGAGGGAGGAAACTTTCTGGTTCCTCCTTAGTTGGTTTGCAAAACCCCGGCTGGGGAAGGGCTGGCGGGGTCTGTGACGTGTTGCCCTGAAAAGTATTAATTTTTTTTTTTGGCGAGAGTTGGTATGTGTCATCATTGTCATGGTTACAGAAACCCATCACTAAATAATTTCCTGAAATGCTTGCTAACCTTTGCTTTGTAGTAACTGCTTAACTAAAGTCAGAAGTACTCATCGGAGCAACTCAAACAACATTATTTTTTTTTTCTTAATGAATCGAGGCGTGCCATGTGCCAGGCACTTCTCAGCGCTGGGTCGGACATAACGTGTCCAGGACATTGCAGCATGCTGAGGTTTAAGGAGCTCTTTTTGCGGGGCCCCCGGGGGGCAGCTGGGGCTGCACAGGAGCCGGGCACACGGCGGTCTGATTAACGGTTATTCCCCGTGTCCTACGTATGCGATTCTTACTGCCAATTGATGCTACTTTGGTGCTATTTCTTAACCCTTACTACCCCCTACAGAGATTAAGAATTACTATTTGTAAATCTCTACTGAAAGCATAGATTTCATGGACTGAAACAACTCCAACAATAATACGCATGTTTGTTCATGTAGATCCTACACTTGATGGAGTAAAACAATAATTCTAGTTTTTCTGCTTTAAATGCCAGTAAGTACTAATCAGCACTCAATGAATTCATGTTGTGGATGACTGTCAATTAGGTCACTAGATAATGAACCAAGTATTGGTTATGTCGTAATGTATATTTTTAGATAAGATTTGTATAGTTACATATTTTTAATTTTTACCAAAGGTAAAACTGTAATACAAAATTCAGTTTTCTGTGTTGTGCTGTGTGTTGTGTGGTAAACAGCAAACAAACTGTAGAATGCACACTAGGGAAGGTGGAAAGATGGATTTATTTTCTAATTAGTGTTATATTCTGGCTTCTTGGAGTTTGTAATGAATGCGCTAGTTAAGTTAATGGCAGCAGGTGAAATTTAGAAGTATAATTTAATGAATGCTATTCTTTTAGAGAATTTCTTCCTCGCTGAGGTCTTAATTACAATTTTATATTTGGCTAATTTCACCTCCTACTTTGAAAGAAAAAAATTCATCTCTCTTCATTTTCCTCTCAGTTGGAATCATTGTTACTAGATGCCGGCAGTGTGCTGAGATGGGAGAAAAAAAAAATCCCTGCTCAGTAGGGGTATTGAATGGAAATGTACGGCCTCCAGAGGAGCTCACATTCGTTCCTAAACTCGTCAGGCCTAGAAAAGTTTTGAGCAAAGGAATAACTTGAATCTCTGCTTGAGACTGTAATATATGTATGTCTCCCTCCTCCCTTTAAAAATTCATTGTGATCTTGGACAAAGTATATGAAACTAGACCACCCAAAGGGTATTTGATAGGCTTTATTTGTTGGTTTTGGTCTTGGATATAGAGTGGTCTTATACCAGGAATTTAGAACTAAATTCAAATAGCATTGAGTTGTTCTAGGGAAACCACTATATAACTCTGTTTTGAAACTATGCATGTCACTTTAAAATGTGTTTTAAATCACATGTTCTCAAAAAAAGAAAGTATAACTTCTTTAAGAAGCAGGTTTGCTGGTGGAGGTAACTCTATGCAATAGTTAGTTAATAGGTAACCTTTGGTATTTGATGCAAAGTAGCTTGTATGCCAGCTTTGAGCTTCAAAGGACTTTGGATAAGGAGAGAAGTTTAGTGAAGAGGGAAATGTCTTGATGGGAAAAAGATGCAGGATAGTAAATATATGCTATTTATATTTTCATGGTCCGTCTACAACCTAATTTTCTTCCACTTAAGCCAAAGCTTGTTAACTGTTAGAACTGCAGTTTTGGAAGTTTCTGCCTCGTGAAAAGAAGTACAAAAAGACTGGACTGTTAACACAGTGGTATTTGATTTGAGACCTAGATGAGGGAACTAATAAGTAACTTAATCTATCCTCTCTGATAAGTTGAAATCGGGTAATTGAAGGCTTTTGACAAGCAAAGCTTCTAGTTAAGTTCACTGGGCTGGATATAGAGCTGAAGTAAAGTGAAAAGCCTTTTAACTTAAAATGGTATAGATAGCTGTATTGACCTCAGGGAAGCATAAACGAAAGAAAAAGTTAAAGATCCCTCCTTAGTGTAAGATAAAAGAAATCATGGTGAGATTAGGCAGTATGAAAATATAGTTGAAAGTTATAAGAGTCTCTCTAGAGTGTTGGATTTTCTTTAAATCTTGCTTTAACTTATAATCCCTTTTATGCAGATATTAGTAATCATAAGTTGTACTTTATTTTAATAAAGAGCTGGGTTGTTGGGGGTTTTTTTCCCCCCCATAGAAGAAGTATCATTTGCTTCCTAGTATGTTAAATACTCTTCAGGTACTTATCCTGACTAGGGAACAACTTAGCCATTTAGCTGAGAAAAGAATTAAAATTAGTCACCACTATTCTTCTGGTGGTTGCTATGCAAATTGGAAGCATAATGTTTAGGAGAAAATCAACTGCCTCTGAAAGCCTTTCCTTGCAAGCCCAACCCTATAAAGTGGGTTTCAGCTATGCAGGTGACTGTACCTTTCCTACCGATTTTGTTGAAGATAAGAGATAGGCTTTCCATTTATAGTAGTGTGAGAAAGCAAGAGTTCATAGATTATTCACATCACCTCTGGCTACCAGCCTTCTCTGTATTGAACTATGGGGTAGGATGTTTGTTTTACTATATGTGAAGGAGTATCATGCTTCCTGAGTCTGTGCTCCTTACTATAACATTGAGGCTTTACTAAGTTTTGCTTAAGAGTTCCAAGATGAGGACAGAGTGGCGCTGATGAAGTCTATGAATTGTTGAAGAGTGAGGCAAGGGCATCCTTGAATACTGCCCTCTTCTTCTGCCCTCTCTTTCCCAAGTCTCTGCCTCACCTTCTGTAAGCCTGTGTGGGTTGCTGCCCGATACCGTTTGCAAAAGGCCAACATTCAGTTTCTGAGAGCAGAAAAGAAGGCACATCTTTTTCTAATAATGACTTTTCGGTTTTCTTTGAAAATTGGGCCTCTTTTAAAAAACATTAGATAAACTTGTATGACTTCCTCATATACGAAGGGAAGATATTTTGAAAGTTGTATTTGAAATTTAATTAGGGAAAACCAAAGGGTTTTATATTGATAATGAAAAAAATGGGGTCATTTCATTCCTTTTTGTATATCTCTTAGCACCTAGGACGTGTAGTTCCCATAGGAGGCCTGCATAGATTATTTATGTGTGTGTGTTTGTGTGTATACACATATATGTATATATAGGTGGTGGTTGTCCTTCATTCTGAGGAACAAAATGATGTCACTATGCTAGGGTCGAGTTACAATGTGTCCGATTGTGGCTGATGAGACCGATATGAGCTTGGAACGCTCTACCCGCAGGTTGGGCACAAATAGTCCATGTGAACATTTGGGGTGGATTCTCTAAATTTGCACGTCTTGCTTTTCTTTTGAGCTGTTTCAATTCTGCTTTGCTCATAGAGCACAGCACTTTCTCTGATGTGTACACGCCATGCTGGGCAGTCCTGTGCCAGTGTCTCCCATGTCACACAATCAATTCCATAGTTCTTAAGAGAGACCTTGAAAGTGTCCTTGTATCACTTCTTCTGACCACCATGTGAATGCTTGCCCTATGTGAGTTCTCTGTCGAATAGTCTTTTTGGCAAGCATATGTTTTGCAGTTGAACAGCGTGGCCAGTGCATTGGAGTTGTGCTCTCTGCTGTGAGTTTGAATGCTTGGCAGTTTAGTTCCAGAAAGGACCTCAGTGTCTGGTATCTTATCCTGCCAGGTGATCTTCAGAATCTTCCTAAGACAATGTATGTATATGTATATATGTATATAAACACAAATAATTGAACAAATCAAGTTTATTAGTTCTTTCTCATCATCATAGGCCCCGTTCATTGGAGTGAACTTTTCCCAATTGCTGATGGGGATCACCAATCTCCGATTGAGATCAATACCAAAGAAGTGAAATATGACTCGTCTCTCCGGCCTCTCAGCATCAAGTATGATCCAACATCAGCTAAAATAATAAGCAATAGTGGTCATTCCTTCAGTGTTGACTTCGATGATTCAGAAGACAAATCAGGTTGGTTTGGGGGAAAGGAAAATACTATGTTACATTAAACTTATTTTGTTGTGGTTGTTTAGTGACATCTGACTCTTCATGAACCCATCTGGGGTTTTCTTGCCAACTAGAGTGGTTTGCCATGTTCTTCTTTAGCCCATTTTACAGGATGAGGAAACTCAGGCAAACAAGATCAAGTGACCTGTCCAAGGTCACGTAGCTAGTTAGTGTTTGAGGCTGGATTTGAGCTCAGATCTTTTTGACTCCAGGCCTGGAGCTCTATCCATCTAGCTAATTATTCAAATTTTAAAAATCCACGATAGTTATTGTGGGGTGGAGAAGGGGGACAATCGTATTTATGTGAAGTTTTAATACTGATCTTAATTTGTAACTGTGACCACTTAGTATTCAAGACCATGGAAATGTTGACAGCTCAATATTACTTCATAAAATGATTATTTTTTTCCTTTAAAATTCAAGTTATCTCATACTTAGAATTTTTAGAGCTGGAAAGGACCTTGGAGACATTTCTCACTCCATAGGTGAGGAAGCAGGCCTGGAGAGATTAAACAGCTTGTCCAAAGTTGCACAGCTGGTAAATGGTAGGGGCAGGACTCAATCCCATCTTCTCACTTGCAGACCAGTCAGTTTTCTTTTCACTGTGCCACCATAGCACTGTGCCAGTAATTGGAACACATGTCTTTCATCTGAACAGTAAGAATTAGGGTTTTAATTTTTAAAAAGAGACATGGAACAACTTTGTATCATGTGTTTATAATAGGAACATAACTTGAAATTAAAGGTCATGTTCTGTTCAGTGCTTAATTACCCCAGTGCCTTATTAACAGTGGGCATTTAATAAGGATTTGTTGATGGACTGGTTAATCACTAAAACTTCATTGTTCTAGTCAGTGCTTTAATAGATCTATGATTCTTTCAGTTTGTATGCTGCTTCCTCTGATGTATGTAAATCAAAGTCCCTTTGCTTCTTAGTGGAAGGTTTTAAGTTCTCATGAAAAAAAAAATGTATCTCATGGTGGTGATTCTTTAATGATCATGACATTCTCCTTGACCTGGGTGGTTCTCAGATGACAGACAAAGAGTCCATCCCTGAGGGCATCTATGAAGACTTACCAGTTCAAAAATACAGTTTAGGAGCTCAAGCTTTGCTGCCTTAGCGTAAGGTCACTTCCACATCCTTTTACAAAGCCAAATAAATATAGAATATATTACATAGTGCTGTCTTCCTTTAAATGAACAGTTGTAGTTTCCTCAAAAGCTGTGTTTTTATAATTATAAGGATTGCCAAGGAAATGGGTCATTAAAATGAGGCTATAGATGACAGAGAAAACTCTATAAAAATTATACCTAGAGATATTTTTTGGAGTCTCTGATATCCTTTTTTTTTTTTGATTTAGCTTTGACAAATCAAATCAAATGCCACCCTAATTAGAAATAGAAGTTTTAAAAAGATGCTATTCATTGGAAGAAAATATTCTTATTTAGAGAAAAGTTGCTATAGTTCAGCAGTAATATGCTAGATTTATGTATAGTTTTGCAACTGGCAAAAGTTACTTGCCCTCAAAACTTTCTTTCCCATATTTCCAGATTCAGAGTGGTGATATATCTTTTGCCAGAGCATAAATTACTTGAAGGAGCACTGAACTCTTGCTGTAGACTTCATTTCCATTTTTATTTCCCACCTATTTCATGCATAATCAATCCAGTTTCTTTCTAGCTTTGATTCTTAACCTTTTAAGCTAATTGGTATGCTATGAATAACAGATATATCATAGACACATTCCAGGGCTATGAGTAAAGGCTCTAAATACAGAGTATATATTGTTATGATTACTATTACTATCAATATTTAGTGTCTTTGAAATATCAGTATTTAGTCTCTTTGAAAAAATTATTTTGGGTCATTTAAAGAAGATGGGTCATCCCCTTTTTGTTTTAGGATAGGTACTTAAGATTGTATATTCCCTAACAGTTAGCAGTTTGTTCTGTACAAACATATATTATATTTTATTGGAGAGGGCTTGTATTATCTTCCAGAATTGGTGGGTTGTGGGCTTTATAATAGCAGTGTCAAACTCCGATACAAATGGATCCCTACCTGTTGCATATTGATTAACATTATCTTTGTTGTATTGGGTTTGTATTTATTTTGTCAAACCTATCCCAGTTACATTTAATTTGGTTCTTGAGGCTGCAAGTTTGATAACTCTGCTTTGTAAGAAGGGAAAGCAAAAAGAACCTAGTGGCAGAGTTATGCAGCTCTGGGGATTGTGGTTGTCTGGGTATCTTTCTCAGTGCACCTAGGTTTATGCTCCCCTTTGGCGTGTCTCTTGGTTTGTCTGGGCTATAAGCTACTTGAAGTCCTAGGGACAGAATGCACCAAAATACTAAACAGTGATTATTTTATGTCACAAGATCTGCATTCATGACAGGTTTCTACAGGGCAGGGAATATTGCCATTCTAACCTTTGTATCTATCTCCCTTCCTAGCATAATGCCTAGTACCTAGGAGGCACTTAATAAATGCTTGTTCACTTGAACATCTTTTGAGCCCTTTACTATTCTTTTGAGCATGACTGTGTCAGAAGTCAGGATATCCTGATAGTATTCAAGGAACCCTGAGAAGCAACCACCAACATACAAAGGGGGTTCCCCTTATCTTTGTAACTCCAGAGCTTGTGGAACTGGGACCCTGGCAGGGAGGGTGCCCTTTGATAGCAGGGGGTGGTGTTAGACTTCTTAGATACTCACTAGTTATGTAACACTGACCAAGTCACTTAACCTCTCCCAGCCTTAGTTTTCTCATCTGTAAAATGGGTGTAATAGCACCTAACTCAAAGGATTCTGAATTGATGAGGTCACAGACAGACCAATTTGAGTACTTTCATTATTATAACTTTCTTTGGACTGTTCACAGGGCCAAGTCTTCAGTGACTCCTGAGGCTATAGCCTCTTTACTAGCAAGAGCCTCAAGTCAAGGGGAATAAAACAATGATGACAAAAATAGCTCACTTTAATAAAACATTTTAAGGTTACAAACCCTTTTTCTCTTCTTAAAATTTCTTGTTTTGCTAATTGTATCAGGGTGGGGGACCTGCAGCCTTGAGGCCACATGTGGCCTTCTAGGACCTCAAGTACAGCTTCACAGAGTTTAGATTCTGTCAAAAGGCCACACTTGAGGACTGGCCACGTATTGCCATGAGGCCCAGGTTCCCCACCCCTGGTCTAGGTGTTAAATAAGTGATGGAGAAAATGTCAATAACCTTAGAAAGATGTCCTGTTTACATATTTGGAAGGAGAGAATTGGGTTGTTAAAAGTTTACTAGCACCCCCGTGAATGGTAGGTGTTTTTCAAATGGCAGAAGCCTATGAAAGTTGCATTACACAGGCAAGTAAAGGACTAGACAGGACAATAAAAGGGGATATGAAATTTCATTTCAAAACATTTTTTTAGATCTCTACTTTTTTTTAAATCATCAATTTATTTTTAACATTCTTTTTTTAAAACATTGAGTTCCAAATTCCCTCCCTTCCTCCAGCCCTTCCCCAACCCATCGAAAGGGCAAGCAATATCACATCAGTACGGACCCTTTTTCAAAACAACGTTATAAGGTAGGTAGGTGGTACAGATATCATTACCCCAATATAAAACTGGGATATGGAAACTGAAGCTTAGAGAAATTAAGTGGCTTGCCCAGGTCATGTAGCAAGTATTAGAGCTGGGACCTAAACTCAAATTATTTAACTCCATTCTCCACCTGTAAGGATTGAAGTACAGCAAACTTAGGAGGGTGAGGAAAAGTTCCTGATTGATGTGATGTTTAAATTCAAGTCTCTGTCTTCCAGTTAACAAGCCTTGAGAAGGGGAAGATGCAAGAGCTGTCATTTTGTCCTTCCTGGCAGAGCCCAGAAGGTACAACACCAGAAAGACTGATTGGGAGTGGAAAGTAACACACAGAATTGCATTGGTAGAGAGGCAAAGAAAGAAGACCAGCCTAAGCAGATAGTGCAGTGACAGGCATGCCTTGAGGCGGGCTGTAACATAGGCAGGGTCACTGACACAGGAGGAAGTGGTAGACCACCACTGCTTTGGTCTGACCAGTAATGAGGAACCTTTGCAGGACCTCCACCAGCACCAGGTTCCCCACCAGCAGTACATTGAAAGGCTGGTCACTCACCCCACAGAAAGGGGGAAGGGGCAAGGAAGAAGCCTGAAGGGAAAATGCTGTAATTACAACCAGGAAGACAGAACAGTTAATCTGCGGGATGGGAATGTAGTGGCTGCTTGTTGGCAGTAGCCCTAATGAAGAAAACAAGGTGGTGCAGTGGATAGAGCACTGGGCCTGGAGTCAGGAAGACTTGAATTCAAATCCAGCCTCGGAGATGTATTTGCTGTGACCCAGAGCAAGTTACTTCACCTCTGTTTGTCTTAATCCACTGGAGGCGGAAATGGCAAACCACTCCAGTATTTTTATCAAGAAAACCCCATGGACGGGATTGGCATACTGTGGTCCATGGGCCACAAAGAGTCAGACACGACTAAATGACTGAACAGTGAACAGTTGGGGTGAGAAGGGGAGGGAATCAGAAAAGATCTCGTGAGCTGAGTTCTGACAGAAGCTAGAGATTTTAAGATGCAGAGGCCTGGTAGGAACTGTATTGCCCACACAGGGGACAGACTGTGCAAAGGCACAAAGATGGGGGATAGAATGTTGTTGGACAGGAAGGGGCTGTTTGACTAAATTATAGAAAGTATAAAGAGGAGTAAAATATAAGGCTGGAAAGATGGGTTTGAGCCAGGCTGTAAAGAGTTTCCTTCCAAATGGAGGATTTTTATATTTGATCCTAGCTTTCAGAAAGGGATATTTACTAAGGTGATTGATATGGTAAGAACAGTTGGCACAAAACAACCCACCCCCTCCTAAAACAAAGTCTTGTGATCCATAAATACATATAGAGTCCAGGGGAAAATGAGCTCTAGCTTAGTGAGTAATGTGACA